TTCTGGTGTTCACACTGTTGAGGTGGCAGGAGTGAAATTCTATGGGATGAGTTCTTATCTGTGTGTTGTCCTTCACTCTGTAGGAAGTGCTCTTCCCTTATATCCTCTTGCAGCCTTTGATCTAGACCTGTGCCCATGAAGGCCCAATATCTTGGGTCGATTTTTCTCTAGTTTCTGAAACAGAGCTTATTTCCCTCCATCTTGCTTCTCAGAGATGCCCCTTCCTGGTTTCCTACTTTTCACAAAGCCACCAAGCCTGCACAGTGGGCTCCTTCCATTCCTGGGATCCTTCTTCCAACTTCCCAGCCCCTTTGCCCCATGAGAGCCTCATGTGCCTTCCTTAGTGTCCACTAGGGAGGACACTGTGCCCACTCTGCCAATCCAGGAAAACATGCCCATTGAACTCTCCTGCTTTTTTTACTGGTTGGTTTATGCCAGGAAGCTGTTTGTCTTCTTTAATCCTAGACTGTGTTCTAGCATTTTGGTTACTACATTTCACCATGGATGGAAACAAAAACAAACAAATAAGGATTAGGAGAGTAGCCACATATTTATGATAATAGTATGCATAAATATATACATGAAAAATGCTCATGATCAATAAATTTTGGAGAATGGATTTTGTAAAGTTGTCATAATCAGAAGAATGGAATTTTAAAGAATTGTTAGAGTATTTAATAAATTAGGAAACATGATTTATCAGTAGATTTTGACAATTAACAGTATAAAACTGGTTCTTTCTCTAAGGATTTGAATAAATTATATTAGCCACAAATTCAGTTTGTAATTTTAATTAATCAACTTCATGTTTGCTAGTGCATTAAATATGGACTCCTCTCCTTTCTGTTTAGGATTCAGCTGGAATGTATTTTGTAGTTAAAGTTTAGGCCTCTGAAATCCCAATACTCAGGAGACTGAGGCAGGAGGATTGCTTTGAGTCTGAGACCAGCCTGCACTACATAGTGATTTCTAGGTCAGTGTGAACTACATAGTGAGACCCTGTCTCAAAAAAAAAAGTTTAGGCCTATTGTTCCTTAGGAGACCACAGAGTGTTGTATTATTTTTGATTCAGGGTGATTGTATGAATTTATAGAAGTATGATTCATGGTGGAAGAATCATCTGTGAACTCAAGCAATGTAATACATCAATTGAATATTCTACATTATTTTATATTTTATTTGTTATTTAGATGCATTGCTATAAAGCTAATGACTTTATAAGTTTTTAAAGGTCATTTTAAACTGTGCTGAGAGTATGTGCAGTGTGACAGACTCAGAGAATCATAGTATGCCTAATTTAAAATTAAGTATCCATTTTTTTTCCAGAGTCCTTGATCAGATGAGATCAAAGTAATTGAAATATCAGAGGGAAAAGTGAATTTAAGATTGAAATCCACAAGTGCTAATATTAGAGTGCTGGGGATGTGGCTCAGTGGTTCTGCAGCCTGCCTTGAAAGCACAAGGGCCTGAGTTTGATCCCTGGTACCAAAAAACAAAAACAGAAACAAAAACAAAAACAAGTGGTACTATTGAAAGCTACCATAACATGGCAGGTACTACATAAATATTCTTTGGGTTAATCAATGACACAGGCAAGGTAAAACACCATAACTGCACAATTAATTATGCCAATTTCAAGTGATAAAAATTATACTTTATGTGGTATAATAATTTTAAAATCTATAGGGCCAGGGATTTAGCTCAGTGGTTCCATTGCCTGCCTAGCAAGCACAAGGGCCCGAGTTAGATCCCTGGTACCAAAAAAAAAAAAAAAATCTATAGCTACCAAATATCCATTGATAAATGTGCATAACTTGCTTAACAATTAAAATTAAAACTTTATAACCAATAGATAATTGATGTCAAATTTTCACATTAAAATATGCTTCTTTGAAAAGCTACTTCTTTTTATATACTTTTTTTTTTTTTTTTGGTACCAGGGATTAAACTTGGGTCCTTGCACTTGCAAGGCAGGTCACCGAACCACTCAGCTAAATCTCTGGTCCTTTTTATACTTTTCTAAGTCATTCGCTATCAAAGGATTTTAATACATAAATCTCAATTGCTTGACATTCCAAACCATATAAGACACACATCAGAACTTTGAGATTGAAAGGTTCATAAGGATTTTGAAGAAGGAAATGTATCCCTTAACAACTTGCAGAAGGTATGAGGTAGAAATGGCAGAAGACTACTTGATTAAGCACTCCTCCCATACTAAATAGGGAGTTGGCGATAGGTCAGCTTCTAGCAACTGTAGTAGTCTTCAACCCTAATAGAAGTTCTTTTAGCCGGCTCAGCTCCCAGACATGTGGTATCACATTGCTAGGTCAAAGTGCAAGCTGGATGCCATTCTCTATTGCCACCAGCAGGGGCAGTGTTGGGCCTCCAGGCCAGGGCTCCTCTGTCCACTGGGAAATTCTCAGTTCCCTTCCGGTCCTCTTTCCGTTCCTAGGGAGAACTTCCGGGAGCAACAGAAATAACCAGGATCCAGCTACCATCTCTCTCGGGTTTGTCCATCCACGTAATTCTCAGTTCGGAGTCAAATGTCATTGGATGTTGAATTCTGTTGCCCGTTTTTTTTTTTTTTTTTCTTTTCCTTTCTGCATGGAAAGCATCCTTCTCCGTTATTAATGGTTTCCTGGATTCCATTGTGAAGGCGGCCATCATGAGAGAATCCTTCCCAGAGAGGTAACGTATCTTCACTTTTCGGAGGGTTTTGATTTTTTTAATGTGTAACTAGTATTCTTTATATTTCCCATAGATCCTAAATATGGATCGAGCTAATGAAATATTTTAAATTCTCAGTAACTGGCAAGGCCTGGTGACACACTCCTCCCAGCTACTGAGGAGGCTGAGGCAGGACGGTCACAAGTGCTATGCCAGGCTGTGCCATTAATTCAGTGAGGCCCAGTCTTTAGAGAGGAGGTGGGGACTCGGGAGGTAGCTTAATGGTTTAGCACGTGGAGGCCCAAGGTTCAACTGCCCGTTTGGCAAAAACGTTCAGTATCTGTTCTGTCAGCCCCAAATTTTTCCGTTTTTTTATAAATAAGTCTTTTATTTGATTGACAATAGCGACAAAGCCGAGCAAGGGCAAAAAGCCAGAAGTGCACATGAAAATAAGAAAGCCAAAAATACATTTTGAAATGTAGATAAGAGGGGATGAGGATTTAGCAAAATGTTTCTGCTACCTGCCTTGCAAATGCAAGGACCTGAGTTCTATCCCCGGGATGAAAAAATAAAATCTAGGTAGATAATTAGATAGATAGATGGATGTGCATTAAAGCACTATGAACACATTTACGGTCAAAACACGAGTGATGTTATAGTTCTTGATCTGACACTAATGTTGAAAAGGATGAGAACTTGTTAAAATTCTTGCTCAATAAATGAAGTGACTCTTGTGTTACCTACAACAAATTATTTTATGCCTACAGTCCTATATTTATAGAATAATAATGTCTTGCTTTGGAAAACATGTTTTGTTGGTGAAATGATTTCTAGAAACAGTGTACATCACAATCATTTCAGGAACAGGAAAGTGAACGTCAGTGAAAATAATAGGAATAAAAAAAGAAAATAGGAATGTATACATATAGGTATTTAATAGAAGTAATTTTGATAGTCAATTATGAAATGATATAGTCTGACAAATTAACTTGATAAAATGTATATATAATATATAATAAGTATTAACTGACATTCAGTATAAACATACTATATACTTAGTAGAAGTTAAACGAGATATGACTTTCATCTGTTGACAACAGAGTTGGGAAGGAGTAGGAAATGATCCTTTTTCATCCCTTTATAAGTGTATATGACACTTCATAACAAAATGACTCCCTATATTTGTTCTCTCTTCTCAAATATTTTTTAAGTATTCTTGCTTGAAATCAAGTAAGTTGATTAAGCCTAATTTCACTTTGCCTCTCTGTTGTCTTAGGTATATATTTTCTCTGATTGCAAAAAACGTTAAGTTTCCAGTTTGATAAATGGAGCAAATGATATATTTTATATCTAAAAGAATATGTGTCATTTTTTTACTTAAAAGATCCAGCCATTCAAAATGAAGTAAGAGGAAAAAAGTAGTCTTTGTACACGTCCACATAATTTTCCTCTTCACGCTCTTGTTCCCTTTAGGTAGTTTTCCATCAAGGATGCTTTCTCTTCAGTCTGAAGAACTTTTGTATGATTATGTGTTACTGTTTGAATGAGGACAGATATTCTCAAGTTTGTTTCATCTCACTGTCAGTCTGGAAAGATAGTATATGGGTTAATGAATACTATGTTGACTATTTTTAATTTTTATTTCAGTATTGGAAGGTTGCTGATCCATTTTCACCATTTCTCCAAGTATAGTTTGAAACAGTAACTGTCAGATTCCAGAGACATCAGGTAATGTACTTTAAATTTCTTAAGCATTTCCTGGGTATACCCTTGTATACATCATCAATATTCTTTGTATTTCACACAGATATTCAATATATAGCTTTGGAACACAGCAAAAATATAATAGCTATTTAATCCATCCAATTTTAATGTATTTGTAGGAAGAAAAATTTTCAAACGTAAAATGAAACGTCTCATGAAAATTTTTTCCAGAATCCAAAATATTCAATTTTTATTTCTTAGTAAGATATGTGCAAATGTCTTCACTCATGAATCAAGTAAGCAATACATTTTCCAAGCAAAATATTAACATAGTTTATTTTAATTGTTAACTTGATGCAAATTTTGACATGTATGAGAAGTTGTATGAGAACAGATATAATTTTGGTCAAACAGAATGAAGTGATACACTTTAAAGCAAAATATTTCAAATCTACAGTAATTACATAATATTCATTAGCATTCAAACATGGCAAATACCTCCTAATTTGAGCTGATTTATATAAACAGTACATATTAGGCAATCTGTATACTTTTTTGTGAAAATGAAAAAATATATATAGCCTTTGTACATGTGAGGTTTTGGTATTTCACATATTCACAAGATGATAGAATATTTAACCAATCATACATTAAACAATTCCGAAGAGACATGAAAACAAGAACATTATATTACTGGTTTTCTGTAGCAAAGGATATGGCCATTATCTTTTGTTTGGAAGGGATGAAATAGTACTCGAGGAAGTTGGAGCACTAGTAGAAAAAATGGAAGGCTTTGAGGATACCCTGGTAGTATGTTTTTGGCTCAATGAAGATAGTCAGAGATGAGCTACAAGTGGAACATTGTATAAAATTGACTAGGGGAGCATATTTGGTCCCCTCCAAGTTTGAAAGAGGGTCCACAGTGAAGAACGTTGGCAGTTATTGACCAGGTCCTCGCTGTTGGAGCCTGGTCACTGTAGAATTTGTGGATTGGCTTCATTGCCTTCTTGCTGCATAAGTGGTTATTTATGTTCTGTTCATTCTCAGTTTCTCTATTGTTCCTTAGAGTAGATGCAAAAGTAATTGTACAAGGAAAATGAATATATTTAATGTGATTGTTAAATATAACATGTAAAACAAATAGTAAGCTTTTCTTTTTATCATGATACCACATTATTGAGAGAGAAAAAATGGTAGTGGGTTTTGGAAAATTAAATTTGTATTTCTAAGAAAATTATAAATTTTTGCTACCAGTTATAATTAGTAATTGTTCTTCTAGGACTGTATTCAAAAAACTACTCACAAATATGCATATAGTTTTGGTTAATAAATGGTGAAAGGTCTGTTTTTTTCTTTTTTGGTGTATTTAAAGCAGAAGGGGTGAGACATGGTCTCTTTGTGCAGTGCGGGCTGGCCTTGAACATACTGTGTAGGCCATGTAGGCGTCAGACTCATGGCCATCCACCTCCTGCCTCAGCCTCCCCAGTGCTGGGATTATAGGCATGAGCCATCATTGCCCAGCTGAAAAGTGTGTTTTTCAGTAAATTGTATTGTGTTCATACAGGGAGAACACAGCTCATATATACTTGCAGATCCTATGTTCGATTAGTATTACTGATAAAGAAAAACAATTTGTTTCACATGAATGTGTATGTATATGAACACTTCAAATATGTCAATGAACCCAGGACCCTACTTGTGCTAGACAAGTGCTTTACCACTAAGCCACAGCCCTGGCCCTTCTGTTTGTGAAGTAAGCATTCACCATGCATGTTTGTCTTCCTATGCTATTTTAAGATGTAAAATTTTCTTTAAAGGCACCTGATCTTCTGAAGAGTGGATCATACTCATCTTTCTTTGTTTATTATATTTATGTTAAATGTTTTCATTGATTGCCAAGTCCCCAGCATGTACTAGGTATAGACTATGAGGTGGGAGTCCATTACAACAAACCAGTTAATGTGGCATATGTCAGAGCATTGAAGTCTGCTAGTAATTTTTAAAGCTCCATTAGTAGCTGGACTTGGTAGCACACACTTCTAATCCCAGTACTGGAAGGCTGAGGCAGGAGGATCACAAGTTTCAGTCCCACCTGGGCACTTTAGCAAGGCTTTGTCTTAAAATAACAATAAAAATGCCTGAGAATGTAGTTCAGTGTGACAGTCCTGTGCTCGATCCTCAGTACCAAATAAGGGAGCTACATTAGTAACTAAAGTATTACCTACACCTTTTTGTGTTAGGATTACTGGTTGATCTAATGATTGGCATATAAATCCTTTACTTTTCTTCATCTCCTTAAAGAAAATATCAATTCATGTACATGAAACTTCACAAGAAGAAAATTTCATTTATCTTTTTTTATAGTCTTTTTGTCCAATGTATTATTTAGGCATTTTACTGAGAAATTCATATTGTAATTCTTTTGTACATTTAATATTTAAATGAAACCATTGTATATAGTTAACTGAGTGTGATTTTTGCAGTGAGGTATTATATATAAAATACTTCTTAGCAATATTTAATTAGAAATATCATTTCTTACGCAGTGTGTGTGTGTGTGTGTGTGTATGTGTGTGTGTATTCCTGGTACAGGGGTAGCACTCAGGCCTTCATACTGATCTATTTCCCTTGCTTTTTATATTTTTTGCGTGAGGTTCTCCTTAAATTGTCTAGGGTTGGCTAGCACTTGCCATCTTCCTGCTTCCCATCCCAGAGTGCTGGAATTACAGGGATTCACCACCACAGCTGGCTGTGAATTTTCTTTTAATGTTCTAGTTTTCACTTGAATTATTGCTTGGCATATTGTTTACGTAGAACTGTATAGCTTGATTTCCACATTTAATTTTTCCCTAATTTCTCTTTGTTGTTGATTTCTACTTTCAGTTTGTTGTGTCAAAGAACATATTTCATTTATTTATTTATTTATTTTTAAAGTTCAAAAGTCAGGTTTTTAATGTAGCCTAAAATATAAAATACGAAATGAAACAAAACACACCCAAGAACTCTTTATGATGATTATTTCCACCTCCACTATCACCACCACACCCCACACCCCAGTCTTGCTATGTAGACCAGCCTGGCTTTGAACTCACAACTATCCTGCCGCAGCCTTCCCATTTCTGGGATTACAGGCCTGTGGCACCATGCCCACCTGTCTTTAAATGTGTGGTTTCTTACAGAAGTGCAGGGAAGCCATTAAATATTAGTGGGTCACCGATTTACTGAAATATGTAATTGTTCCTTTTTTTTCCTCATTGAGTTTATTGGTGCATTTTAGGTATAATGTGCAGTTACATTCCTTGTTGGGATCTCGTACCTTTATATGTCAGGTCTTGGTTCTCATTTTTTCCCCATGTCCCTGCCCTCCCTCCACTCTCTACTACCCTCCTTATTTACAATTTTTTTTAATTTCCATTTTCTCATTTGCTCCTATATTTTTCCATCCCCTGATTACCTTTCGCCTACACTTCCCCCTCCCCTACACTTTAAGACCCTTTCTTCCTATTTCACATTGTCAGTGATCTCATTAGGATCTTTTGCACTGTGATAGTTTCTTCACACCAGAGAAACTATTCGGTATTTACACATGTGTGACTCATTTATTTCACTTTGGAGGATATCCTCAATATGTATCTATTTTCCTGTGAATGAATCTAATTTGTCCTTTTTTGTGGCTGAGTAGTATTGCATTTTATAGAAAAACCACATCTTCTTTTTCCAGTTTCCAACTGATGGGCAAATGGGCTGTTTCTAATTTTTAGCTATTACAAACTGTGCCACTATATACATAGGTGTGCATATATCTCTGTGATATGATTCTTTTAATTCTTTTGGGAAGATACTCAGCAGAGGGATGGCTGGGTCAAATGGAACCTCTAGTCTCAGCTCTTTGAGGTATCTCCATATTGATTTCCATAGTGGTTGCACTGGTAAATATATGAAAAAATGTTCCACATCACTGGTCATTTGAGAGATGCAAGTGAAAACAACACTGAGATTCCACCTCACCCCACAAAGAATGGCTGCTATCAAGAAATCACTGCATAACAGAAGTTGGTGGGGTTGTGGGGAGAAAGGAACCCTTCTGCATTGTTGGTGGGAGTGCAGCCTAGTGCAACCTAATTACTATTTTTAACTTGCCTCTTTTAAAATATAAAAACCTTCTGAGTTTTTCTCCCAAGGGCCCACTGAGAAATCTCCAAATCAGCTCAAGACTAATATTTGTTTAGTACTCAATTTTAGGAAAACAATTTCAGAAGATGTCAAAATGGTTGAACATTTGATTCAGTATGGTTACAGGTTGTTGTTAAACAACAGTTATTTAATGAAATTGATGATAAAGTAACTATAATAGGTATAATGAGTGAGAGAAAAACAAAAAACAAAAGCCACTTAGCTTTTGGAGTGAGCAGAATCAGTTCTGTTCACAGGTGCTTACTGTGGTATGACATAGAATCTCTGTCTTCTGTAGGGGATCACTTAGCAGGTTCAGAAACCCAGCATCCTAATTTTTATTAAGAGCAAAATAATCTAAACAACAACTTTACCCTTTTGATAAAAAATCAGCAAGGAAATCCCACTTGCTTTGCATTTGTGGACTGTTGGGGGCACAGCTTGTTTTAAAAGAGCCATGGGAGCCACGGGGACCCCACCTGCTAACCTATACAAGATAAGACCACGTTCCCACATTCCTTCCTGTCCACACCCATTCCCTTTCGGTGTTCCCCTGTCCCCTCTCTTCTTGCCTTTATTAATGTTTGAACTACCAATCATTCTGTTTAGAAGAAAATTACTTCACTTTCCCTTTAAGAAAACCCATCCTACATCCCTGAAAGGGGCTTCCCTTCATTGTTTATTCTTCTAGTATCCCCACTTACATAGATTGTTTATAATTCTTTTCAGTTCCAGGGATCAAACTCGGGACCTTGAGCTTGCCAGGCAGGCACAGCACTGCTGAGTTACCTCCCCGGCGCTATTGCTTATAATTTTTAACTATTAGAAACCCATATTGACAGAGAAAAGTG